AGAACAGAAAGATTATTTTGAATGTGAAATGCCTCTAGAAAATCCAGTTCTCCAATGGAAGATGTTTTTTGAATAATTTTGACGGCAGAAAAATTGAAAGTGTGATTTTTGGACCAACAATGTTGAGCAACAGAAGAATTCTGTGTTTCCTTTTTTCTAACATATACCTCATGTTCCTTGACGTGAAATTTTAAAATTCTCTTAGTTTGGCCAATGTAAATTAAACCACACACACCCTTGCAGTTAAATTCGAAAAACTTCTTTTACAGTCTTCCAGTTCAAGTAGTTCAAAAAATCTTCCCATTGTAAATATTAAGCGAATAGTTAATATTTCTAATGTTAGTTTATCAGAAGAACAAGAGAATTCTAAAATATAATTTCAACTTCTCGCAAACCTGTAAACCCTCGATTCCAAAGATTTTGGCTCTTATCGAAAAAGCTTTCAAGTTCAGTAAAGTTTCATATTCACAGAAAGAAATGATTAGGCATTTTATCGCTCATAATGTTAAATTCAATAATGAACCTTTGAAAGCAAATCTAACTGCGGGAGGAAGAGCTACAATGCGTGAAATTCATTCTAACCCGGATATTATCATTTCAAAGGCCGACAAAGGTGGCCAGATAGTCATCATGGATAAGAACACTTACATCGATGGTGTCACTAAACTCTTAAAACGAAGGACCATATAATCCGGTCCCTAAAGATCCTTCACCTTCGGACCTGTCAAAAATAAAAACTGCGATCAAATCTTCATAAATCGTTTCAGCAACTTAAAACATTTGCTTATCCCATCTGTTGCGAATTGTGCCAGATTATATGCTCTTCCCAAAATTCATAAAAGTAGTATTCCTTTCCACCCTATTGTATCAAATTTAGGTACTGCCTCGTATCCATTAGCTAAATATTTAGTTTCTAGATTTTCAACTCTATTAGACAATAACATTTACACCATAAAAAATTCAATAAAGTTTGTAAAAAAGGTTAAAAACATTTCTCCTAGAAATTTACTCGTGGTTTCTTTTGATGTAAAATCATTATTCACCAATGTTTCAGTGGAAGGTGCATTAAGATGTCTAGAAACCAGACTTTGCGAATTTCATTTCTCATGCATCGAAATTGATGAGCTAATTTCTCTCACTCAACTCTGTTTGAAACAGACACATTTTGTTTTCCAAAATTAATATTACAAGCAAACTGAGGGATTAGCCATGGGAAGCCCCCTCAGTCCCATCCTGGCTGATATCTACATGCATTATTATAAATCAAAATTGTTTGAAACTTTAAACTTCCCGGCATGGTTCCGCTACGTAGACGATACTTTTACCCTGTTTGAAGGTAATAAAGATGATTTAAATAAAGTTCTTTCAACAATGAATTCTATTGATCCTGCTATTCAGTTCACTTTTGAACTTGAGACTTGCAATTCTCTTCCGTTTCTCGACATTCTGGTCACACGTATCACATCCAACTTCAGTACTACGATTTACCGTAAACCGTCATCGGTTTGCCTTTTTTTTCGTCATCAGTTTTTTAAACAAAAGTTAGCTTCATTTTATTCCTATGTTTTCCGTGCTCTTCAAGTTTGCTCCTCCAAACTATCCCTTGATGAAGAACTAAATTACTTAAAAGCAATAGCTATTGACAGGGGTTTTCACCCAACATTATTAATCAAGCAGTTAAAAAATTCTCATCTCAACACACTAGAAGGCACACTCTTGTTTTAGGAGATTATAAAAATTCTGTTGTCATTACCTTCTTTCCATCAGTGAAATTCGCGAAGTCTGGTTTCTAGTCATCTTAATGCACCCTCCACTGGAACATTGGTGAATAATGATTTTGCATCAAAAAAAAAACCATGAGTAAATTTCTAGGAGAAATGTTTTTAACTTTTTTTACAAGCTCTATTGAATTTTTTATGGTGTAAATGTTATTGTCTAATAGAGTTGAAAATCTAGAAACTAAATATTTAGCTAATGGATACGATGCAGTACCTAAATTTGATACAATAGGGTGGAAAGGAATACTACTTTTATGAATTTTGGGAAGAGCATATAATCTGGCACAATTCGCAACAGATGGGATAAGCAAATGTTTTAAGTTGCTTGAAATGATTTGTGAAGATTTGATCGCAGTTTTTATTTTTGACAGGTCCAAAGGTGAAGAATCTTTAGGGATCGGATTATATGGTCCTTCGTTTTAAAAGTTTAGTGACACCATCGATGTAAGTGTTCTTATCCATGATGACTACCTGGCCACCTTTGTCGGCCTTTGAAATGATAATATCCGGGTTAGAATGAATTTCACACATTGTAGCTCTTTCTCCCGCAGTTAGATTTGCTTTCAAGGGTTCATTATTGAATTTCATTATGAGCGATAAGATGCCTAATCATTTCTTTCTGTGAATATGAAACTTTACTGAACTTGAAAGCTTTTTCGATAAGAGCCAAAATCTTTGGAATTGAGGGTTTACAGGTTTGCGAGAAGTTGAAATTATATTTTAGAATTCTCTCTTGTTCTTCTGATAAACTAACATTAGAAATATTAACTATTCGCTTAATATTTACAATGGAAAGATTTTTTGAACTACTTGAACTGGAAGACTGTAAAAGAAGTTTTTCGAATTTAACTGCAAGGATGTGGTTTAATTTACATTGGCCAAACTAAGAGAATTTTAAAATTTCGCGTCAAGGAACATGAGGTATATGTTAGAAAAAAGGAAACACAGAATTCTTCTGTTGCTCAACATTGTTGGTCCAAAAATCACACTTTCAATTTTTCTGCCTCCAAAATTATTCAAAAAACATCTTCCATTGGAGAACTGGATTTTCTAGAGGCATTTCACATTCAAAAAAATCTTTCTGTTCTAGTTAACGATCCTAATTCCAATCCATCTTTGCCTTCGGCATTTAAAGAAATTATGTTTTAGTTCTGTTTCATCAACAGATGGCGCCACTTGCTTACTCTTGTCAAGGCTTTCTTATCTAATAATTATTTCCTATCTTGTTCATTTGCAGTTTTGCACCTGAGGATGGTGGTTCGGTAAAACCATCGAAACTAGTCCTGTGAAAATTTTGAAAATATAACGCTGATTTTTGTTTATTAATTTTATTAATTATTAATTTTGGCAATAATGAATGGCCATCGAAAAGCTCGCCGAAGGCTAAGATCAAGCGTTAAAAATTTCACCCCATAAGTGGGAATTTCTGTGCCATTGGTGGCATATAATTTGAAGTCGCTTTGAAATTTATCTTTTTTTGTATCAGGTAATAAACAAGCATCTACGCCGGAATCAATTAGAAAATGCAAACCCGTGTGTTGTTTAGTCACAAATATTCAGTGTTTGCTGCCATCCTGAACATAACCTGCAGCAAAATCAGCCGCTAATTCCGCTGCTGGTTTAAGTTTTCCGACTTCTTTTGACCACAAGAGCAGTTAGTTTGACACTTTTCAGGAATGCATTTTTAGCCAAACATGTAATGGTAATAACAATACTTTCCATTTGGATTAAATCTTTTACGTTTGTTACTTCTACTTCGCTCTCTGTATCTATCGCTACTACAATTCCGAGACCGAGACTGGCTAGAAACACTTAAAGTTTCTGTTTGGTTTTCCAGAGAAGAAATTTTTAGCAGTAACTCGTCAACCAAATTTAAATTTTTGGCAGAGGAATAAATTTCAGGCTCAGAATTCATTTCATTATTTTGTTGGCCATTAAAGCTATTTTTTCTAACCACATTGTTTTGAATACTTTATCTGAAACGTCATCAGTAGTGAGCGATCTCATTTTTTGAAGTAACTGACTGGGTTTCATATCCCCAAGGTCAAGGCCAGTGACTAAGCCCTTAATTCGCTTATTTTCGCTTTCTTTGAATGTGTTTAACGATCTTTCTTTAACTAAGGTATATTTATTTTCAGATGTGTTATCCGTGATGATATCCCAAACAATTTCAACATATTTTGGCTCTAGTTGAGGTACTGCATAATTAAATTTGGTACCATCAACAGTTATGGCATTAATTTCGAATTAAGCTTCTATTTGGGGGGGAAAAAAAAAAAAAATCAGTCTTTTCTGGCCAAAAAAGTGGAATTTTAACACTCACCTTGCAAGTTTCCAGCGTTGATGTTCCTTCCATAATCCAATGTTATGGTCGCCATTCTTTTAATATGGATTTGATGAATAAGCAAAATCGAAACTGATCAGCCAGAGCATTTCATAAGTGAAATAAATGCTTATTTTGTTCTTAAAAGAAGCAGTGTATTTATTTTTACAATTTCCTTTCTTGTTTGCAACATGTTACTTATTTTTTTACATAAAAATATAACAAACTTTTAATAAATAAAGCTTACGCAATGCATATCAAGGAACACTCCAACTAACAATGTTTTTAGCTCGACTCGTTGTTGCTACTTAGGAAGTCTTAATAATTACATAGAAGCATTAAATTATGTTCCCACTACAAACCAACATTTATAGGAGTCTGACACAAAATGCCAAAATGAAAGTAATAGTCCTTCGAGACTCAAATCCCTTTGGACTTTAAAAAAAAAAAAAAAAAAAAAAAAAACCTTTAGTGCAAGTAGTAATCACCACCCAAATCCATGATTTAATGCTAATGTTTTGGTAGTTTTTCAAAACTTTCAGCTCAGAAACTTGGTTTCCACGAGTCCAAAGACATATCAACTTCATTTTGGATATCCTGGGCAGAATGGAAGATAGCACCAGCAAGATGTAGCTGCAGGTGTGAAAAAAGATAGAAGTCCAAATCAGCGACATCAGGGCTATACGGTGAGTATAGGAAAACATCCCATTCAAGTCCATACAGAGTTCCTCCATGCCATGGAAAGGATTGGCTATCTGGATAAGTGTTCTGCATTTGACAAATTATGCCCAGTTTTATTTATTGTGTACTGACAATTTTTTTATTGTTTCTGAATGAAACGTTTTGCTTGAACTGCTACATTAAAAAATTTTATTTCTAATTTTAAAATATTGTTACAGCATCGCCCACTCACCAGGGCACTAACCAAGGTTCAGCCCCCAGTGACTCGAACACAGGCTCGTCAAGTTCATAGGGACCCGGATGCCATTTCAGGTGAGACCAATTTAATTTATTTAGTTTTTAAGCAATGATCACTGATGGCAGTAAATTGGTCAAACTCAGCCCAGTTCTGCTGTTACAGTAAGCACTATAGATGTTCGTATGTGCTCACAATGGAAGTTGAAAATGCTTGGATCGGAAGGGGCCCAAGAAAAGTCTTCCAAAAAGAATGGACTAGAATCTGCATGATATGCAAGATTATAAAAATTAGTGAAAGTTTCTACAAAAACCGGATTAAGAAGAAAATTAATGCAAACATTAATTCTGTCTTCTAAAACTTTGTCATTTTTACCCTACAAGACATACTACTGAGGACTTTTTTTAAAAATATGCTGGTTATGTTCATTCATGTATCCTAAATTTTAAAGACCTTGTGTGTTTAAAACCCTGTATATTGTTATGGCCTCCAAGTTCAAAGATGTCCTTAAATAACTAGGCCAAATGATTCTGCTTTATGTGTTCCCCTCCCAAAAAATGAGAGGTCACAATCATGAACTATTGTATATTAATAAGAAAACAATTACTTCCAATAAGAGTGTTGTATTTCATTATTCAAAAATTGCATTCACAAGGAATTCATGCAGTGGCTTATATTTCTTTTTAAAGATTTTTATTTACAAAATTTATTTGCAGGGCAACCCTGCAAAATGTTAAAGATTTTTTTTTTTTTTTTTTTTTTTTTTTTTTTTTTTTTTTTTTTTTTTTGACACATATAAGGGTTTCTTATCTCTTTCAAAGCCTGCTTGTTGTTATAAATAAGAAAAGATTTCTTAAAATGGACTAATTTATTCAAAATACAGTAGTACCTCTCAATAGGGATGGACACCTTATGAGACTAGACATTTTGCCCCTTAAATAGAGATGTCCCTTTTCAGAGAGTACGTACTAAGAAAATTTAATCTAATTAGAAATCCGTGTTGTATGAAGCTTTACATAAATAATACACAGTCACAGGTATTTATTGAATTGAAATTAATGAAAAAGGAAAACTCTTAATAAAAAGTTTAATTCTAGTAAAAAATGACTGAAATGAACCATATTTATTGAAAAATTAACTTAGTCACAAGTTTTTATTTGTTTTTTTAAATTAATGTAAAGTGAAAATCCTGAATTAAAAAGTTTAATTATAACAAAAATGAATGAAGTGAACTATATAGTTTTGTACTAAAAAATTTATAAAGAATACTCCATTGCACAAGTTATTTAAAAGTCTGTGCATTGCAAGCATTTTTTCCCACGTGGATATTAAAGTCACTGATGATCTTAAGTCCAGCACTATCACCAATGGTGATCATGAATTTTTTTTTAATTGGAAGTTGTATTTTAAGGCTTTTGTGTAGTGTTTTGTGTTTCATTTTTTGTCTGTCTTTACTTTGTCTTCCTCACTGCTTTCCCAGCATTTTTTTTTTTTTTTTTTTTTTTTTTTTTTTTTATGTCACATTATCAACTGCAAAGTTGATATAAAAGATTTTGTCATCACTGGTGAATTCCGTATACAGCTATTTATCATTTTCTAAATATTCTTATGGTTGAGCACTGCTACTGATTTTGACAAATTCAAACAATTCATTTTTATCAATAATATTTTCACTGAGGGCACTCAAAAGGGGAATTTCAAAGCCTGCTATCTTAAAACAGTGCTTAGCACAACTTTATGATGCAGATGCCTTTGTTATCCACTGAATGACATTGACACATTTTGGAGGCTGATTCCTGTTTTCAACAAGCAGCCTGAGAAAAAACATGCCATGAAAAGTGTTTTCTGTAATACAGAAACTGTTTACACACCTTTTTAGACAACTTTGCTTTGCTATAAAAAAGTTACTTGCTTGTGAAAAAAAAATTTTTTTTGTGCAGCTCTATTTTGGAAAGTGTAAATTATCGTCTACTATTTGACAATTTTGTTTTTATGCAAAATGGCGCTTTTAAAGAAGCAATGGACAGAAGGCTACATTTGTTCTCTGTCTGAAGAAAATCATTCTTATTCAGTTATTAAAAATGCTGTGAAAGCCACAATTTTTTGGTATCTAGAGCAATGATAGATAATATTGTCAATAAGAAAGGGAGTGAGTGTCACATTTTGCCTTCAAAATACATATCTAATTTTTTTTAAAAAAGGAATGTTTGGACTGTTGCAAAAGTAAAAACTTTAATGTTAAAAGAAAAATCTTTCAAGTCAAAAATGACAGTTGCATAATCATTAAAATGCTCAGTGTCAACAGTAAACAAGGTGATTAATGCTGATTTGAATCTTAAAAAGGCAAAAAATGTAATGTACATTGTCTTTATCGACTACTTATCACCAAAAGCAGAACATGCTGCAGAATTCTGTATGAGAAACAATTATTCGAAGAAAAAAAAATTGTGTCACAATAGATGAATATGGGGTATATTTAAGTGACCGAAATAAGAAGAAATTCATTTATTATCATAAAATAGAAGGAAAAAATCTCAGAGCATAGTTCAAAGAATCTAAAGAAAGTTCTTGAAAGGGATTTATGGTTGTGGTTGGTTTTTGATAGAACAACAAATAAAATTAGAGAATGCAGAAACCTGTTATGGTCAACTCCATATATTATCAGAAACATATTTTATGCCCAATTTTCAAATATGAAATACTTTCTTTCTACCCACAGTGCCGTCAATCAGTAGAACTGCATAAGGGCAAAGCAAACAGCTGCATGTTAGAAGCCACTATTAAATTCCTGCAGAAAATGGAACAAGAAATGTGTATCAAGGTCATACTGTCACTCACATCCCTGCTAAATCTTTTGACATATCTTTCACGCATTTTTGCGATTTTGGACTTTTAAAAAGCAGATTGTCAAGATGTCGACCTACAACTCTCCTTGAACTTTGGAAAGCTGTTTGAGATGAATGTGTAAAATACCTCTTCCACAACTAAAAACAGCTTTTTGTCTTGGAAATTACAGTGAAGAATAAGGGTTATCAAATGGAACACTTAAAACAAAAACATTTTAGGTAAAATATTTCTGTAAATACAATAAAAATTGTCTAAAAAATGTATGAATAGATTCTGTACATCGCCATGTGACTGGCAGTCAACATGTTAAGGGAGAATTCTATTGGCCCCAGTCTCTTTGAAAAGTGACTTTTATGTATTTACCTCTTACTGAGGGACACCGGAAAAAAGTTTCAAAAATAAGATAGAGGTAGAGAAATATATAACACTAACCTTTTGAGTTTTCAAAGGCAAATTTGTGCTTAGTGATAGATAGTTTTGTGACGACAAAATAATAAAGTGAATGCTTAGTGAAAGATAGTTTTGTGACAAGGAAACATTAAAATGAAAAGCTAAAATCTCTCTTTCAAAAATTGCTTTTCAGTTGGGAAAAATCAAGTTGTGGTTCAATCAGAAGGATATTTCACATTCATGTAATTCAAAATCCAGTTATTCTTGCTACAATTCCAAGTAAGGGGAATAAAACAGTGTTAGCAATGGGAGAATGAGAAAGAAAAAGTAATGAGATGACTTGACTAGACCGTGCTATGTAGACTTGTTAGAGGCTTATTTTATTAGATTGTAGTTTTCTTTTTGGGGGTATGATGGCACTGCAGAACTATTGTCTCCATAACTCATATTAAAGATTTTTTCCATAACTAATAAAATTATAAGTTCGAAACCACATACCTTTACAGTTAGCTCCTAACCTTTAATTACACAAGTACCAACAGAAATACTTAACATACAATGCCGATTGAAGTGGAGACTAAATGTTGAGGTGCAGCTCTTTCTGCACGAATGTATGACTGGCTACCGAGACATCACTCAGCACCCCATGCTGGCACGGGATTGGCTTTTTACCTTTGACACTGCATCCCACTCTGACGTGAGATCAGTAGAGAAAGTTTTAAATAAAGGTATCTCTTATGGGAGGTATTATTGTATAATGTAATTGCAATCACTTAAATTTCTATACATTGGCGGATTTTAAATTTCTAGACAAGTTTTCATATTGATCGATCCATAGTGTGTCGTATAAAAATTAAGTCTTTGAATTGTTATTATAATTTTGAATTATTATTTTTTTATTTATTTTTTGAGACAAAAATCTTTGAGAAATATGCCACAAATTTGAGAAATTTTAGCAGAGATATATAAGTAGAAATGCGTGTGAGGGAAAATATGATATTAGGCGTTGGTGTGATTCTTGAAATTTAATAGAGCAAGCTCGAAAAGCAGAAATTTCATAGTGATAAAAGAGTGAATGGAGCCTTGGTGTTTGGAGGCACTTAAAAGGGCATATGACTTTTGTTTTCTATCTTGGAATTATGAAGAGGCACATAAAGCAGGGTCTATAATTGTCTGACATTGCTGAAAGGCACGTAATTGTCTTTCAGTCAGTCATAGTATGACTTTTAAGGACCCTATTTCTGCAACTCGCACAAACTCAGTTGAGTATTTTAGGACTCGCACTAACTCATTTGAGAATTTGAAAAGCTCCGCTGAAAGATCTCTGCACAGAACTGGCCATTAGTGATTTAGTTTCTTTTGAGATGAAAGTCTAGGAGAAATATGTCATGGATTGGAAGAGTTTTCACAGAGAGGAATATGTATGAGAATAATATGATTGGAATTTTTGGTGTGACTGGTTGAAACTGGCAGAAGAAAAACTGAAAATTTAATCGTGATAAAAGAATGACTATAATTTGTATGTTTAGAGGCACTCAAAGAATATTTCTTTAATATTTTCTATGTGTGCTCTGCAAGTAAATTTTGTAAATATAAATATTTAAAAACAAATGGAACTCACTGCATGAATTACTTGTGAATGCTCTTTTTTATGAATAATGAAATACAGCATTCTTATTGGAAGTATTTTTTTCTTATTAATACATACCACAGTTCATGATCTTTGACCTCTTATTTTTTGGGGGGAGGAACATGTAAAGGTGAATCATCTGCCCTAGTTATTAAAAGAGATCTTTGAACTTGGATCCTATAACCATATACAGGGCAAACACACAGGTCTTTAAAATTTAGAATACGTGAATGAACATAATCAGCATACGGAAAGAAAAAGTCCTCAGTAGTATGTCTTTTGTAGGGTAAAAATGACAAAGTTCAAATTTTAGAAGACAGAATTAATTTTTGTATTAATTTTCCTCTCAGTCCGGATTTTGTAGAAACTTTCACTAATTTTTATGATCTTGCATATCATGCAGATTCCAGTCCATTCCCTTTGGAAGATTTCTCTGTGGGCCCTTCTGATCAAGTATTTCCAACTTCTGTGTGAAGCACATATGGAACATCAGTGGTGCTTACTGTAACAGCAGTAAAGCTGAACTGAGTTATACCAGTTTACTGCCATCAATGATTACCCTTCCCCCTCCCCCATTATAGGCTTTTCTATTTTATTTTTATATCTGTTACTGGGTTCATATGGTCCTTAAGAGTCCTTAGTTTCGGCCAAAATGGGTTGTAGGTCTTAATTTTAATCATCTGAAATCTCTCTCTCTCTCTGTTTTTACGACTGCCATTTTGAATGTGAATTAACATTTTGGAGGAATATTTTTGGCGATTCACTGACAAATATGGTTATTGTTTGAATGGGTTATAATTTGTTCCCGTTTCTAATATAAATGGTAGGATACTTGAGTTTCTGAGCAAGAAGTGAAACATAAGCATTTCGAAATTATTTCATTTTTTCTAATTCCTCATTTTAGAAAAAATGAATTTTTTCTAAAATTTTATTTTTTCTAATAAATGAATTTTTTCCTAATAATAAGCTTTTTTCTAATGAAAAGCTCTTAAACAACTTTTCGCATTTGGGGATGTGAATTCTTTTATTAAATTGTTCCAAATTTTGCGATTTTAAGATCAGTTTCTATAGAAAACTTTTAATCAGACAGAAAACAGCCACAGGTGCTTTTTGAAATAAAATTATGAGGTGCTATTTGAAAATAATAATCTGTAATATGAGGCCATGTTATGTATATTAAATATTAAAATATTTTGTGAATTAAATTTGGCTCTAAAAAATAGCAGCCAGCTAAATATAGTTGAAGCATGACTGTTTTTTAAGGAGACCTGTTGTTTTAGAAAAATTTAGGAATACAGTCAAATACCAAAATTCCGCCAACTCCTGAATTCCACGTTGCCTCTCAGAATATAAACATTCAGTTTATAGGTTCTGGAAACCGCAACATTGAGTACGAAATATTGAAGAAAAAAATACTTACGGAATAATGATGTCATAATTACCAAATAATAATGAGTCAAAACGAAAATACCAAATTATTGATATAAAGAAGTTTACAAAAATAAGATAAAGTTAATAAGATAAGTTTTTTCCCCCCTCTAATCTGCATCGAGGTAAAAAGCAGACGATTCACTCAACTCTTTGTTCAAGTTCACGATTTACATTGTTGTATTTTCTGAGCTTTGTTATTTCATTTCACGAGATTGTTTAGTGCTGCCTTTTTTTAATCATGATATTGTGTAGATAAATTAAGAATATTTTTAAATTCAGCCCTTTTTAATACAATGACAGATAAGAAACGCACTCGTGATTTTACTGCTTGAAACGTTGAAAAACGTAAACGTGTTGCATTGACAGTAACGCAAAAAGTGCAAATTCTGCAAAAGATGGAAGCAGGCGCTACTCCTCGATTTATAGCAGAATGGTATGGAATTGCGACATGATTGTGTATGATATACGGAAAAATAAAGAAAAGCTCTTGAAATTTTACAGCAACAGTGATTCTAACACTGGAAGTCTTAGTATGAGGCGAAATTGGCAAACCTCGATGCTGTGTACATATAATACAATGAATAATGTAATCAATTTATATATGTAATAATAATTTAATGCACATAATAAATTATTGCAATAACGTATATAATAATTTAATTAAATGTATCTAATACGCCTTATTAATTTTGCACTTTTAGTCCGAATATTATGCTTTATCTTTTCTGTCTTGAAATCTGCGCAACCTCTGGTCCCAAGCATTGCGGATTTCTGGAATTCTACTGTATGACAGATTTTATTGTTTAAAATAATTAGAAAAATTATTGTATAAAGAAGCTGCATAAATATAAATTTTGAATTAAATTTTTAACATGCATTTATATCATATAAAGAACAAATTTACTTTTTATTTAGATAATTATGTCCTAACAAAATTATTGTATTATGAAGATACATAAATATAATTTTTGAATTAAATTTTAACATGCATTTATATTATATTAATATAAAGAACAAATTTGTTTTTTATTTAGATAATTATATCCATCTTTATTCTTTGTGTCTCTCTTACAACTAAAAAATTTTAACATAGATGCTAAATGCTTTTTTAAATTGCTGAGCTATTTAAATTGATATACTACATTTCCGTGTAAAAATATTTTGTTTTACATGTGTGTATACATCTTCCTAATTTTTATTCAGCATTTATATTTTAGAATAAATTGTAGACAGTTCTTGGCTATGTTACCCATTATATATAGTATATTATTCTGGCATACATTGCTACAGCTTTTATCTATATTAGGTTATATTTCTATGTATTTGTTTAACTCATTAACTTGCTGTCATTCTATGCCATCTGGTGGACATGGCAGTATTGTGACAATATTTATGCAATTTTGTGTAGACATCCCTTGATGACAGCTCCGGTTCATATGGAGGTGCCAGAAGAGACACCGCAAACTCCATAGAAAGCCTGCTACCACTCAAGAAGATTAAAAACTTCTGATTCGCTGCCGCATGATCTTCCAAAAGTGCCTGAAACCACAGGTGTTGCTACTCCTGCCAAAGATGAACTTTAACGCCGAGCACTGTGCCTGGAACTGTCGGCAAAACAACCCTAGTGGTGTGACTTTGCATAATTACATAACAAATCAGCCTATTGTTATCTATTCTCCACCTAAATATACCTATTTTCAGAAGTTCAATAAAATATGTTGAAAGGTAAACTTGCCCTTTTGTCTTCTTTGTGGTGGGCAGCTTTATTGAAGGCACTCCAAAAATGGGAAGTAATCCAGTTTAAAAAGAACTAATCCAGTCGAAAAATGGGAGGCTTCATTTCACACTACAAACACGCTTGATTAGTAGTTGCAAAAGAACTTAAATGATAGAAACATATGAAATTACAAATACACTGGTGTGCAAAAATTAAGGACGAAGTCGAAAAATTAGCATATCACCTGAACGAAGAGGCAGAGCGGACAGAAAGACCAATCAGGAGATTAAGTAAGGTGATGTATGGTAGCACATGCACAGATATGCAGGTAGATGTAATGGGGGAGTGTCTGAGTAGTATAAAGCATGTTGTCGGTGTAAGATCAGTATTTTGGCAAAGAGATTGCACTCCGTATAGCAGTTAAAATCACACCGAGTTGCTGCCTCAGCGAGAAATGGCGAATAATCAATCTGTTAGACGACATCTGGATGCTTTTACCCGAGGTCGAATCATTGGGAAGTTGGAGGAAGGCCGCAGTGTGACAAGTGTGGCTGCAGAGTTTGGAATTGCTCACAGCATCGTTTCACGACTTTGGAGACAATTTCAAACTACAGAAACAGCTATCTGGGGGTTTAGTAGTGGTCGTCCACGAGGAACCACACCCGCAGATGACTGGTATATTGCCTTACAGGCCAGAAGAAACAGGCGGCAGACAGCGGGAGAAATCGCTAGACACGCGACTGGACGACCAATGTTGCGTTTTACCATGGCCAGAAGACTGCACGGTGGTGGTCTGTTTGCACAACGACCTGTACGGTGTGTACCTCTAACGCCTGCCCATTGGAGAAGGCGTTATCTGTGGTGCCGGGAACACCGGAATTGGAGAGACAATGAATGGGGACGAGTACTCTTTACAGATGAGAGCAGATTCAGTCTGAGTAGCAATTCTCATCGCATACTTATCTGGAGAGAGCGGGGAAGCCGCAATCATCCCTCGAACATCATTGAAAGGGACAGGTATGGAGGTGGCGGTGTTCTCGTTTTTGGGAGGCGTCATGCTTGATAGTCGTACAGACCTTCACATCTTCGACACAGGTTCAGTCAACAGGACTTGTTATTGTAACGAGATTCTTCTTCCATATGTGCGTCATTTTAGAGGCTTGGGTCCGCAGTTCCTTTTCATGGATGACATCGCACAGTAGCTGCCGAACAGCTCTTAGAGAGTGAGGATAATGAATGCATGGATTGGCCGGCACTATTTCCGGATCTCAATCCCATCAAGCATGTATGGGATTTTCTAGGCAGACGCTTGGCAGTTCGTACCTTACCACCAGTAATGATTCCGGAGCTTCGATTGGCGCTGCAAGACGAATGGGCAGCAATGCCTCAACAACTCATTCTCAGCATGGGCAGACGTTGTGAAACCTGTCTAGCAGTCTGGGGAGATCATATCCCCTATTAAAGACCGGATGTTTCTTGCTGGACACCCATCACAGGGATGTTTCGGCCTTCAGTCGCATTGCGCTCCATGCTACTTTTTTTTCAATAAAGCTTCTTTTATCCCTCTGATTTCTCTTTTAGTAAGTGTTTGCTTACATTGCTTATGTCCTTATGTATTGGGGATCTTACGGTATTAAATGTGTTGATTTGGAAAGCTTTTATACAAAGTTATATTGAAAAAAACCGTCTTGTCCTTAATTTTTGCACACCAGTGTATGTAACACATAAGCAGCAATCATTGCTGCTTTCCCTTCTCGTTCTGACTCTAAGTTCTCTCTGGTTTTATTTTAGTTCTGAGTTCATTTCAGTTAGTGAGGCTCATTCAGTTCACTTCAGTTCGTGCTCAGCGACATCGTCTCACCTTCAGTTTTAGAGGAACTCAACCTACTCTCACACATGTCACAATTGCAGTCTATGGATGGGTTTCACAGTTCTTCCACTACGAGTTGATTGTGGCTTGAGGTGAGGATTCTGATTGTCCTTCTAGTGGAATATGACTTTTGGAGTCAGAAATTTTAGTTATTGTCTTACAATCACTAAGGGCTTTGTTTCTCAAAACAGGACCTTCAAGATCGTCTGACAGTTCTAAAGGATAAACACGTTGTATAGGTTTTGTGACAATGCTGAATTTTGTTTTCAATTTTACAATTCTCACAGTATCATCTTGTCCAGGTATGACCTTCAACAACTCATGCTATTAGCCATTACAGACACTTCAGGTTATCAGAACCGGTGAGTACTGTATCTCCAATAGAAATCAGTTTGAAAATTCTTTTAGAAACATTGGTATGTTTTAGATGTCCAAGATATTCTAGTCGAAATCGTTTTCGTAGATCTCCACGTATTCTCTGCAAGTAAAGATGTCTTTTACACATATTTAGTAGCATCAATGTCTGGTACTCCACTTTCTTTGTTCTCCTGTAAGAACATTGAGAAGAGAGAGCAATTAAGTTAGCATCCTCAAACAAGTACGTCAAAGGTCGTGAATTTATCTGACTTTTAGTATCACACAACACTGTATTCAGTTCTTCATAATTAACAGAAGCTTGGCCTAATACTCTTCGCAAAATCTGTTTGACCATGCTGATCAATCCTTCCATCGTCAGCCCCACCAAGGAGCCGATTAGGGGAATGAATTTCCATGTTATCTTCTACTCAAAGGTGATTCATTAATATTTGCACCCTTGGATGCCCAAGTTATGTTTATAAGCAATAAGCATATGCACAATTTTATGCTTTGATGGCAGTATTATTGGTAACCGAAAATATTTCTTATCTTTTCTGCTGAAGATCTGTGTTGATACTCATTAATCCTTTTTCTTCAAATACTGGATGGAGAGGTTTCATTCGCTGGTCATTTATTTCATCTGGAAATTCTTCTCTTTGGACAGTTTTCAAAATAATAGGTTTTTCGCTGATTTCTTTTACAGCTAGTTCATCAGAGCATGACTACGCTTTACTTCTTACATTAAAGTTATCAGGGTCAATGTTCCTTCTTACCTTCTTCGGAAACATGCAAGGACCTGACTCGGAACAGAGAGCTTACTAAAGCTATGTTCACTAATTGTGGGAAGTAGACAGGATACACAAGAAGGGTATATAAAACCCTTTATTTTCTCTATTTACAATAACTTCCGTACTTCGGAATACACCGACCCGCTGCTTGGGGTCTAACGTAAAAATATAAAAAATAGAACTAAACTCTAATTTAACTTTAAAATAATAAACGTGGAAGATTGGCCTTATATTAACAGGAAGCGTATGTAGTACAGAGAACTGTGAACACTACAATACGTTTAAAATTTATCAAGAGGATTAAAACCTCCGGCCTGGAAGGCAACCAGCAACTGCGTAAAACTTCTAAGGTAAGTGGCCTGCTTCGACTCACTGCTTCCTCTCTCTCGCTTGGCAAAAAGCCACAACTTAAATACTTGGCGTTCGCCAGACAAACTTTGCATAAATACCTTCACGCTTATAATTCTGGCCGGAAGTAGAAAATAAGAATTGATAGTAAAGATTTAAAATAAAATAAACGTTAGTAAAACTTAAGATCCTTACAAAGTAAAATCTAAAAATCCAAGCAACTATTCTAATGAGTTTGTTCTTTACATTCCTTCAATTTTACTTCATTGCACATAACTCTGTGTGCCAGTTTTCACAGATAATTTTAGACCTTCAGTCTCATGCCCTATACCCAATTCTGCGGCATAAGAAACAACATGATTTCTTCGATAGTAATTTTTTCTTATCATCTAGTTGCATTTTTCATGTTCTTAAATCATGGCTCTTTCTGCAAAAAAGGTACAGTTGGTTTATTTTTCGCAGTATGTGTAGCGTCGAAAAGTCCAACAGCAGAAAGAATGTTTTACCTTGCTTTACTAGTAATTTTCTCTCTTCACCCTCTACTTTGGATTTTATTAAAGCAGTAAGTTTATTTGATGATTTACTAGTTTCACGTAAACCTATGCTTTTTTTCCATAATCTAATAACATCTTCTGGCAAATAAGATTCAACCAAAGGGTATACATACCTAACGTATTTGTCAGATGTGGCGTTAATATCTTGAGTGCTTTTAAATGAGTTTCAATCGTATCCTAGTGCTTTGCAAGTCATGTTGCTTTGTTTCGGCTCAATGAATTATTCAAAATTAAGCTCAACAATTTTCTCACATATACTTCTATGAAGAGATCCTCTTTGCCAAATCGAACTTTAAGACATTCAATTACTTGGTAATAATTTTCAGCCAACAGGGTGAAAGAAACAATTATATCTCTTGCACACAAACCTTTAACAGCGGCTTGAAATAAATATTGAAATTGTCTTCAGGTGGAATTTCTGGATCATCGTGAATATTCTTAAACTGACCCCAGAAGCCCAGCCGTTCCTTAACATCACCACTGAATTTTTTTAATTCGATTTTTGGTAGTTTAAACCTCCGGTTTTGAACTGTAGCATTAAGAGTACTGTTATTTGCCGAATTAGTACGGTACAAAGTTCGAAATTCACACTTGTCGGGACTTCAGCGATTCCGGATTTGGAATTTTTCCGGATATTAGATCATCAATTTAAATCTGGTAAGGTGGCATGCAGAAATTATACAATTAAAAATATGAAATAAAGAACAATTATGATTTAAAGAGTGTCAAAATTTGCCAAAAAAAGCTTAATATTTATTTGTTTACTTTATTAAACATTTCTTTCAATGTAAGTTGTTTAAGTTGCTTCAACAAAAAAATTCAAAAAGTTCCTTTTTCTTTTTTATGTTATATACAGTCGACTTTCTAATGCCATATTCCTTGCATAATTTTGAGACGGATAGGCCTTTATACATTTTCTGCAGCAATTCCACTTTTTGTTTAATGGACATCGAAACATGGTTTCGCTTTGTAGATCCTTAGGCAGCCTCAGAATTGGAACTCTTTTCGGCATAATCGAAAGTTCAAGCTTAATTTTTATAAAATTGCCATAATAATAAAAGTCTGCAAAAAATAAGCTGAATCAAATTAGAAGATT